GTTGTTGGATCTGCTGACACTTTGGGGAGAAGAGGCTGTGTAGTTCCAGCTCCGCTCCAGCCATAGGAACTTCGATACCTATGGCCACAAGAAATCTGACATGTCGGATAAAGGCTACGAACGGGACATGCAGCAGTTCCGTGCACAGATAAAATAGCTGAGGCAGGTGTACCAGAAAGCAAGGGAGTCTAACTGTCGACCTGAGGCTGCACCAAAGACCTGCCACTTCTATAAAGAGTTGGATGCCATCCTCGGTGGACACCTCACTGCTACCGCCAAGAGCCCTGTGGATACTTCGGCAGGGCTGGAGTCAGCGGACTCAACCCCAAGGATGAAGTAAGTCACGGACAAGGAGGTTGAGTTGGAGGACAATGTGGAGCACATGGCAGGATCATCCACTGGCACAGCAAGTCAGGATCTCTTTTTCACTCCAGAGGGATCTCGCCAGTCCCAGCAGTCCGTCTCTGACACACATGATGCAGGAGAGAAGAGCTCTGATAAGTTGAATTGATGCTGCTAAGTTATATGAGGTCCTTTGCTTTGCATATTCTGGAGTGAGTGAAGGGACAGAAATGTGCACGACTAGCTGTGTTTGCGTGTGCTTCACATTCTCTCTTGTGCAGCTAAGCAGTGTGGCGGAACAATGTGTTAATGCCCTCCGAGATGTCACAGGATTCCTGCAAAGATCTCTAGGAAAAACTTTTCTGCAGGTACTCGCCAATCCTCTGCCGAAAGTTCCTTGGCAGAAGTGCTTTGTTCCTTCCCCTGTTGTAGGAAACTTTCCCGTGCCAATCGGCAATCACTTGTGCAGGGACCAAAGCAGCACACAGGCAAGCAGCTTAGGGACGTGGTCTGAGGCTGCACGCATGGAGGAGATGCACTCTTGCATCCTTGCTTACCATCAGGAGTGAAATATCAGCTTCAATGGCCCCTTCCTGTGGAAAATGGTGGCAGAATTTACAATATTGTTCCTAGTTGCCTGCAGTGATCCCCTTAAAAAACCACCTAGACCCTTTGCCCCATCTTGAGCACCCCTTTTCCTCCCCCCAGGCTGAACTCACCATGCTTAGGGCATTCACTGAGCTGTGTGCTTGCTAAGGGACAATGAGAAACTGATTCATTTAAACATTTAAAAAGATGTGCATTTTACTACAGTGATTCGATGCTGGGCGTGCACTAACAATCATGCTTCTGTTTATTGTTTCTTGTGCTTCTGCAAATGTGGCCTTCAGGGGAACCCCCCTACACACCGGCAAATAAGGAAGTGACCAAGGAAGGACAAGAAGGACATGTTTCAAGAGGTGATCCAACCCTCAGAGGCCAAAAAACAAGAACACAGGGTGAGGAGAGATACTTTAAAAGAAAATTATAAAACAGACTGGAAGGACAGGAAGGAGAGCCAGGAGTGAATTTTAATGGGGCAAAAGCAGATGATAAAAGTGATGGAGGAGCAAACAGAGATGTTTAAGTCCCTAATCACGCTGCAGGCAGAACACATGCATGCTGCCCCCACCCACCCCAAGCCAATACAGAACTGCTTTTCAAGCCCTCCCCAAACTCCTCCCACACATTCCTTGCAACTTCCTAGAATGTTTCGGTACCCTGTTCATGCCACCCCTTCGGACAGCTTCCAAAATGATAGCTGGACTTACACACAGCTATAAGAGCCTACATTGCCTTTCATTGTTATTGCCCTTCCCACCAAGCCTTTTGTATGTGTTGTTAATTGGTATTTAATAAAAACATACTCTCTGAAAGATAACCAATCTTTATATATCTCCTACACATGTGGATGGGTGGGTTGCTGCTGAAATTAATACAATGGCAATTTGATCATTTCCTGACTACAGGAATCATCAGGTCAGGAATCATCAACATTTTCATAAAGGTGGCAAGTTACCAAAGCATGGCAGAGTGCTGTATAGAAAGACACATTACTGTTGCTCATTATCAAAATAGTGCCTAAAAGCCTCCATGATTCGAATAATGCCCCCTTGTATCCCTCTACTAGCCCTGGTATCTAGCTGCTCAAAATCAGCTGCCAGGCGATCAACCTCCACACTCCACTCCAGAGGAAACTTTTCACCCTTAGCCTCACAAATATTATGGAGCACACAGTAGGTTGCTATGGACATGGGAATATTTTCCTCATTTAAATCTAATCTGCCATAAAGGCAGGGCCAGCATGTTTTTTAATCTGCCAAAGGCATGTTCTACTGTCATTCTGCACCTGCTCAGCTTATTGTTGAAGCGTTCCTTGCTGCTGTCCAGGTATCCCATGCAACGCTTCATGAGCCATGGGAGCAAGGGGTACGCTGGGTCTCTCAGGATCCCTATGGGCATTTCAACATCCCCCGTTGGTATCTTCTGGTCTGAAAAGAAAGTGCCTGCTTGCAGTTTTCTGTACACTCCAGTGTTCCTGAAGATGCATGCGTCAAGCACCTTTGTGGACCACCCCGTCTTGATGTCAGTGAAACACACACGGTAATCCACAAACACCCGCAATACCATAGATAAGTACCCCTTTCTATTAATATCCTCCATCGCAAGATGGTCCGGGGCCAAAATTGGGATATGCCTGCCATTTATTGCCCCTCCGCAGTTATGGAATCCCATTACCACAAAGCCATCCACTATTTCACACACATTGTCAAGAGTCATAGACCTTTCATAGCAGGATGCGATTAATGGCCCAGCACACTTTTTGTTAATGCAGTCCCAATGGTGGACTTCCCGACTCCAAACTGATTCGCGACTGACTGGCAGCAGTCTGAAGTTGACAGCTTCCACACAGCAATCACCACACGCTTCTCCACTGAGAGGGCAAACTCTGCACACAGTTCCAGGAAGGTGGCTTTCCACATCTGAAAGTTCTGCAGCCACTGCTGGTCATCCCAGACTTGCATAACGATGCAATCCCACCATTCAGTGCTTATTTCCTAAGCCTAAAAGCAATGGTGCACCATGTGCAGCTGCTCTGTGAATGCCAAAAGTAATCTGGTGTTGCTTCTTTCCATGGTATGCAACAGGTCAGGCACCTCTGATTCCTGTTCAGATTAGATGCTCATGATATACTGCATGATCAGCCGTGATCTGTTCCCATCAGTGACTACAACAGTAGAGAGCAGTGCAAGATCCATCCTTTCAGACAGAGATGGAGGGCACACAGTAAACATGGGCCATTGAAAAATGCCGCAAAACGCAGTCAGAAGCTCATGGAATGATGGGATGGAAAAAACATGCATAATTCGATGATGAGCCAACACCCATGATGCACTGCGATCCACTCCACCTTCCCACAAGTCCTAGCAGCAGAAGGTGGCGAGTAGCACAGTGGGATAGCTAACCACAGTGCACTGCTCTCACTATCAATGCTAGAGCACCAATTGTGGATGCTCTCTGCCAACAGAAGGAGCGTTGTGTGAACTTCCACAAGCAACAATTATACCAGTTTTTGATCGTTGGCATAATTTGTGTCAACAAAACTCAGTAGTGTAGACAAGGCCTGAACCAAGGCTCTCAAATACTCTTACAATCTCTTGAACTACTTGTGGTGCTGTTTGTTGCCCAGCCACTTGCATTAAGTCATCCAATTATAAGACAAGACTTCAGGTGCCCTCCCCTTAGTTTTGCTGCTTTCACCTTGGTAAAGTCTTAGTGTTGAAGCTATCTTAAATGGCAAGCCAGAAGAAAACTATAGTGACAGTTACTATATAAATAGTTAGCTAGAGGCAGAAAATATAGTTTTACATCTAGAGTATGCATTTTAAAGAGGGTCTAGAACCCTTCCTTTACTAAAATGTAATGAGGAAAAAGCTCTCGGTTTGCCACTTGAAAAAAAATTCTGAAGGGCCTGGCTGTTGAAAGGAAATATATAGTGACAGTGCTGCAAAAGTGTCAAGTCAAACAATTCCTTAAAGGAGTAAAGGGCTAGAGTACTCCATCTCGTAATGTTACCCTCTCAAAAGGATATGCCTTGCTGGAACAGGAGGCAATCATGGGAAAGGTGTTCTAACAAACTACTATAGACCGTTATGCTTTGCATAATCATACTAAGGTCATGTCTACACTTACCTCCGGAGTGATCGATCCAGCAGGGGTTGATTGATCGCATCTAGTGAAGACGTAATAAATCAACGACCGAGCGCTCTCCCATCGACTCCGGTACTCCACTGGAGTGATATGCATACGCGGAGTTGATGGGGGAGCATCAGCAGTCGACCTACCGTAGTGAAGACACCATGGTAAGTAGCTCTAAGTAAGTTGACTTCAGCTACAGTATTTTCGTAGCTGATGTTGTGTAACTTAGACCGACTTGGGCCTGGTCTACACTGGGGGTGGGGGAGCTAAGTCCTCAATTTTGAGTTTTCTAGAAGAACTTTGTCCTTCTACATGCTTCTGAACTATAAGAATCCCCTTTGGGGTGGGGGGGAGGAGGAATAATATAGTTTATTTTTTTTCCAGTAGATTTGAGGATTGTTTTTCGAATCATAATCCTCAATTTAATTCTCAATCCTATGGGTCCCAGAAGCTAGCAAGTCCTGTGCATATTTGGCCATGAAAGAGTCAGGTGTATGGTAGCACTCCCTGTGAAGGAAGGAGTAGCTTTTATTTAGAGAATAAGCAATGCTTCAACAATGGGCCAGAGAAACAACCTCGGGGACAAAAAAAGAAAGGAATGTTCTTGTGCAACGGACAGGGTTGGACATGCTCCTAATCTTTCTCAAATAGCTGAATTTGAAAAGTAGATCCAGGCCATCTATCTAGGACTTCTCTGGGAACTAAACTACCTTTATCTCTAGCTGAGAAACTATGAGTAGGGCACTGAAGCAGTTCATTTGAACTACCTGCGAGGTCCACACACCAACTAACTTACATAGGCTACAGCTTAAAGAAATACCCTGGAGTAGAGGACATTCTGTCCTTATTTCAATTTCATACACCTTGTTATGAGATTACTCCATTATTAAAGGGCAAAATATTATGTTTGCTCAGCTTACATCTTTTTCCGACCGATGTGGGAACATTGAAGACTGGCTGTAGTACATGTTTTCATCGTGGTAGTCACTGTCGACCCCCTCTACAAACTTCTTTCTTGAAGCACCAAACATGCTGTTTGTCACCTAAATGATAAGAAACATGATTACACTCTATACACAGTAGCTTTCTAAAGAAGCAAAAGGGATAAGGTCATTTGTATATTAATGGTCACTTTTTATGCTAGAGAAATACTTCTATACTACAGAATGGCATAAACATATCATGGGCATATTCTATAACTAAAAAATAAGTTTTGATAAACAGCTAAATAAATAAGGAAATACTGTCATCCCTTTTACTGGATTACTATGATATTTCAAGGTCCCTTAAAACCCAAAAGGAAAAGCATTACATTAACTTTATATTAACAGAGCTCCAGATCAAAGGCGCAAAAGCATACATTATGTTGTGGAACACGAGGAGACTTCTTTTAGATCAGTGTACTTCTGCATATAAAGTTTTTGTTTACTTTCAGCAACGTTTCAGAATACCAGTTAAGCATTTCAGTGCAATGATAAAAAAAAATTATACCTGCTAATGTGGAAATTTCTATAGAATGAAAAGAAAAACGCCTTGTTAGAAATATGAACTTCAGTGCCTCATTCTCAGATATTTCTGATATTCTGTAGCAGTCATTTTGATTTCTGGTTCAAGGAACTCCAAAATAGTTATGAAAAAATAAAAGATTACAAAGCCACACTTATTGGGGGAGCTGGTAGGAACCCTTATATTCAGGTTGTTTAACACTTTCCATTCTAAAGGATTTTTGCACCCTTTTCTTTGAGAAGCATTAACACATACATGCTTGCAATCAGCCTTCGATATTCACTTGAGGGAAACCTCTCAGGTTGTAGAAATGCCTTTTTTCTTTGTCCCATAAAATTCCATTCAGATTTAGCAAAATTGTAGTTGCTATTTCCTCTCTCTTGCTTTCCTTCAACCCCTGGGAAATTCTGGTAGCCTCTCAAAACCGCTGAATGTTCTAAGAAGTCCAGCTCAAGCAAACTGCCAGAACAGCAGCACCATCACCACACTTTGCTGGTAGTACCTGGGAGCTGCCAGAGTCAGTGTGGCAAGGGGCGGGGTAGAGTTGATTTTGAGAGCTGGGTTTGGCTTCCCATGCCAATCCCTCCCACCACCCCAAGTGCACAGGAGCTAGCTCCCTGACTTTTTGGAGATGGCATGGGGGGGTGGGGGTGGGGGGCAAACTAGGCCAGACACACCCAGATCCAGAACATGGCTTCAGTGTCTCATTCCCCCACACTCTGGGATAAAAATCCTTCCTCTGACAGCTACTGTAGTTACACCTATAGCTCAAGTGGTGGAAGTCTGTGCCGAAGGCTCAGGCTTCAAATTCTGCTGAGGATGCACGATAGGGAGATTGCCAGAGTTACAAACACACACACACCCCTACTTTTACTTTTGTCGTTTAAAAAAAAACAAAACCTAGGAAATTAACACTCTTAACTTTTTTGTATGTATTTGGGTTTCGAACTAAAGCATTCAAACTAAAGCAATGCCAGATTTACAGTTGCCATTTTAATCTTAATTCGGCCCCACATGCATATGCATTATACATAGGGCGCTACCAAATTCACAGCCGTGAAAAACGCGTCATGGACCGTGAAATCTGGTCTCCCCCGTGAAATGTGATCTTTTGTGTACTTCTACCCTATTCTACATAGATTTCAGAGGAGAGACCAGGGTTTCTCAAACTGGGGGTCCTGCTACAAAAGAGAGTTGTGGATGGATGGGTGGGGGGGGGTCACAAGGTTATTGTAGGGGGGTTGCGGTATTGCCACCTTTACTTCTGCGCTGCCTTCAGAACTAGGTGGCCAGAGAATGACAGCTGCTGGCTAGGCGCCCAGCTCTGAAGGCAGCGCCCCACCAGCAGCAGCGCAGAAGAAAAGGTGGCAATACCATATCATGCCACCCTTCTGCACTCCTGCCTTCAGAGTTGGGTCAGGACCCCTACAGTTACAACACCATGAAATTTCAGATTTAAACATCTGAAATCATGAAATTTATGATTTTTAAAATCCTATGATCGCAAAATTGACCAAAATGGACCATATATTTGGTAGGGCTCTAATTATATAGTCTTAATTGCAGGATCACACACTATTTTCCCCAGGAACCCTACCTCATTCAATGCACAGGGTGGATTCATAAGGGGGCAAACTAAGGTTGCACAGGCAACCAACCAACTGTAAATTCCTAACTTTTGAGTGCTTGATTACCCAATCTAAACCAGTATTCTTTTAATGTAGTTTTTGTATTGATAAAATTAAGAAAAGGAGGTAACTGAACATCCAACAGTGCAGCCCCCTTGGGCTTTTATCAACATCAAAAAGTTCTGCTATAAAACCAGATACATTAAAACATTAATTATACACTTAACTAAAATAGGAACTGAAGCAAAGCTTTCTAAAATCTGTATTTTAAATGGTAACTCAGTATTCTCTGACCCAAACAATATATACAGCCATACAGTCCTTGTGTACACTAGAATAAAAAAAGGTGTATTTTTAAAACCATAGTGCAGACAGGCCAAGTTCTTTTAACAGATGCTAGCTGGTTTAGATGTACCCTACACTGTCACATTGGTGCTTGGTAGAGTTCACCTCAGCTAGCTAATAGACTTCCCTCCACACAGCAAGGGTTCACATAATCAACTAATGTGTGAAAATGCACCTTTTTCTGCCTACTGTGTAAAAAAGATTGGCTCGTCAAAGTTGTCCTAGAATTTAAAAGGATGGGATGTTAGTCGCAATCTCAACCTGTCGTCTCTCTGCATGTAATATGCATGTTTAAGCAACTCTAACTCCTTGAAATATCAAAAAAGCAGCTGGAAAAAAGTCTAGAAAATAAATGACACTACTAACTATGGAGCATGAGTCCTGATATCACCTTGTGAATTTTCAATCACAGCTTTAATTTGCATCATTCTACATCTTTGGCATAAAATGTGAAGTGGTAGGAAGTTGCATCATCAAAAATGCTGTGAACTTCCCCTAAGCAGCAATGTAGTTAGTGCATCATTGGTATCGGAGTTATTTGAATAATGGAATGGTGAGCCTTGGCTGGATGGGAGCAATTCTTTAGTCAGGTTCCATGCCTTCTGCACTAGTGATCCTTCAGAGCAAAGCAGAAAATATGCCATCTGGCCAGGTGGACAATGAAATATAAGGGAGTGGAGGGGTTGTTCACTGATCCCATTAGGCAGTCAACTTACCAAATGCCCTGAATCATGCATAGACAAACTCTTAAATAAAATAACTGAAATATTTTAACTCCACTAAAGTATTTGTATACAAGCTCCTAACCCACACTTGCAGTTCGCTAATCAAAAGCATTTATTGCTGCTGATCCTAACATCAACTTATTTGCACAAATTCCTACTACTCTTGAAGTCATGATTTTTATACTCAGAGTGCAGGCCATATGTAGTTCAGTAAATTTCAGCTTTTTTAGCTGAAACTCCATAGAAACTGTCAATAATTCAGTGCTAATATTGTTGTACTAGCAGTAACTCATCCCCCATTACAATTATCATCATTTTGCTGCTTCCAGTATATGAAAGGAGAGTGGTTCTCTTTGTTAACATGGAATCCACATATAAGCATTTATCAAACACTTGTATACTTTACATGATATTTTCAAGCACATAAGATAGTCCAGACTCTGAAAACTCAACAGCAGCTACTGAAATTTAGCTGTATTTAGATAGTAAAATATTCCTCATTTACTGTACTGATCAACAACATTTAAAATACTGTGCATAGAAGACTTTAAAGTGGAATTCAGTTATAGTGAAAATCTGATTACAATGAAATGGAGTATTACTATTCTTTAGAGATTGTAAACTCCTTCAGGCAAGAGTCTATAATCTACTGTATTTTCTCTTGAAGTAATTAGCACAATTTTAGACAATATAAAATAATACACAAAGAAGTGTCCCAAATTACGTCAATGTAGTCAACTGACTATCAGATAGATAGTGAAGTTTCATTATAAGCATATCCCAACTGTGCTAAATCATCTCAGAATGCAATCACCTACCAGATGAAACGGAGCATTTAACAGGCTAAGGGAATTATCCATTCCTTTTCTCTGTTTGGGAGAATGGGAGAAAAGAAGTTGCTTTACACCATGTGGGTAGGATACAGGAATCCTTGGTTGAAGCTACGCCTAAGCAAGGGACAAAGAGGAACTAGGCCTATCAACCAACTACTTCTCTTGTGAGGGAGTAAATGCTCCACAGGCAACCCCCCAACCTAAAGCAAATACTCACCAGCAACCACACATCAATGAACAAAACC